GGCCCCCCGCCCCGGCGCGGCAGGCAGTCGCCGCTCCCTGAGCCCGCCCCGGCGGCCCCCGTTCCCGGCGTGCTCTGCGCCCCCGGCAGCCTCTTAGCGGCCCGGGCGGCCACCGCACTTCCCGCCCCGCTACGGGCGGAGGGAGCTGCCCTTGTGCGACAGCTTGGCGGGGCGGCTGACGAGAGCGAGCGTGCCTCCGGGCCTGAGGGCGACCCGGAGGAAGGGGAGGATGCCGCCGGCCGTGGGCGGAGGCCTGGCAGGGTCCGAGCTGCGTCCCCGGCGGGGCCGATGTGGGCTCCAGGCCGCTAGGGCCGTGGGCCGGGACGTGGCTACTGACGCTGCAGCGCAAAGTCCCAAACGGCCTGCACGGGGCTCGCGGCGCTTCGAGGCGGCCGGCCGCTGGGCCGTGCTGGCCCTGGTGACGCTGCTGTCCTTCGCCACCCGCTTCCACCGTCTGGACGAGCCTCCGCACGTCTGGTGAGTGACGGGAGGGACTTGGCGGGCACCATGGCAACCGCGACTGGGAGGGACGCCGCCCTCTGATTGGCCCAGGGGCACGGCAGGGGCGGATTGCACAGGAGGAGGGGCGGGGGCCGCGGTGGAGGGGAAACTGAGGTTTGTGGTGGTTGGCCTCTGGCAGGGTACTGTCTCTGTGAGAGGAATCGTTTTGCTCTGGTGGGGGCAGTAGGAGTCTTAGGATCGGAGGAAGCAGTCCTCATGTGTTCCAGGTTATGGGGGAGTTTCTCACCTGGCTCTCAAATTGTGGCTTCTTTGAAAGGTGATTTGAATTTTCCAAATAGAATTGGAAATTCTTGATACTGAATTTCCCAAGGCCTGAGTTCCTAACCTGCGGGATTTTTAGGCACCAGCAAAGGGGGAAATTCCCAGTTGAGTATCTTAATCCTATAGAGCAGGGACAGTTTGGGTGCCCAGGGACGGCGACAAGGGTTCCAGGAAGCAGGTCTGGGGTTGTCTTGTGAGAAGAAATTTATTTTCTTAAAGGTTTTATTTTGTACAGCTCAGATGCTGGGTTAAGGCATACTCAAATTTCATTAGCTAAACTTAAAAAAGTAATTTGGTCTCCAACTGAAAACTTTATACCATAGGAAAATGGTTAATTTTACCAATAAGTTATATTTTCTCAGTATCACAGAGGAGAAAGTTAGTGTAGAGGCTGTCAGAAATGGAACTCCATGACCAAAAAGTAAGCAAGCAAACAAACAGGACTCCCTACTTGGAAATTAATGAATTAGCTTGTTACTGTTTCGTGATTGCTGGCAGAAGATATGAGATTCCTGGGTTAGAGACAAAGGACTTTATTACAGGAAGCAGGATGAATATTAGCTTGTTGGAATCAGTTTCCCTTGCCTCCCAGATCCCACAGGGTGATGCTGTGGGCTCAAATGGCTGACTGCACACACAGTGGGTTGCATCAAAGCGAAGGAACAACAAGCTTGGAGAATCTACTGTTTTATAGCAGGCAGTTGGCAAGCCTGCTCTTTGCCCTGGAGGGAAACATTACCTCATTTCTCAAGTTTGCTTCCTGCAATTACAACCCTGAGAAATGGCCCAGGTAAAATGCAGTCAGGTCCTTGCATTCTTGGCATACCTAGGAAGATGTGTAGATGCAGGAAAGATCCATGGAGGACTGTCTCTCCCACCCCTTGATCCTACTTTGGTCTCTAGCAGATTTTCACAAGACTTTGCCGCTCTGTTGGCTACTCTGATTAACCTGGCTGACAGAAGCAGGGACCAAATCTATTCAAATTGTCTCATACAGCATTTAATTAAGGCTACTATCATGGGACTTTAAGCAGCAGGATAAGGCCACCTATGGTATTTACCTCAACCATGCCCTCCAGGGACCTGGATTCAGCCACCTGTGAATATGTCTTGGGGGGACCAATGAGTCTTATCTCAGACAGCTGGGATGTAGTCTGAGACTAATCTATTATACATTATGACCTGTGCAAAAGAGTTTAGATTGACCGCTGATCTTTGGTCTTATTGTCAGTAATTACAATGGGTCCTCCCATGTAAAAAAGGAAAAAAAAAGCAACCAACTTCCATGCCCAACAAAAAGACATTTCGTGGCCCATTCTTCCTTACATACTGACATATTACTTGAAGGGATGTAGGTCACTCCAGTTCAGGATTTTTTGTTAAATTTTCTTTGAATCACCATCACATTTGATTTAGATCATCATTACATTGGTTTAGTTAAGCCACATGGGCAATGTCACTGAATAGTTGCAGCCTCAGTCCCTAGGACATCAGGAAAAGCATATGATCTGTATCAGTCAAATCGATAGCAGGTTGTGCTGATCTGTATGTTTGCACACATACAGGGGAGATCCATGTTTGGAAGTTGGTGTTGATATCATCAGGCACAACATCAGAGTAGTTTAAGATCTGCCATGTCCATGTGAGTTTTTCTGTTTTCCAAGTGTGCTGACAAACTCAGCCACAGGTAAGATTGCCAGCTGCAGATGCCGCTTGACTTAGGGGGACCATCTGAGTGTTTTGCTAGGCTGTGGTGCTGGACCTAGGGGACAAAGAGCATTAATTAAAATTAATTAATTTTCTTCTCTTTACATCTCTGAGGGTCTAAGATGTTTGTTCTCCCGGTGCTGGGATTTTTTCTTTCCTTCCACTGCCGCGTAATTAGTGCGTCCCGCCCTGCTGCCTATAACTTCACCTTCTCTTCTGTTATCCCCTACTGATATGCAGACCTTTTTGCCAAGGGCATTGTTAGAAAATTGATGGAGACCCATTATGTCTTCCACCTTAATACACATGGACCACTGTAGAGGAACTTGAAAAGCAGTCTACTAACCAAGTGATCATTATCTTTATGCTCTAGGACCATGTCACTCCAACAAGACAATCCAGATGACTGAACTAGAATTAGGTTTGAATCCTGTATTCCTCCCACCTCACCCCCACCCCGCAGCTGATGTGGGGTTTCTGTTTGGGAAAAGAGAGACAAATCCTGCCCAAGAATGATCAGGGGGAAATCTCAAGTTTTCAAAATAAGTTTATATAACCTTCCACCCCTTTATCCTGATCATTACCCAGCTGGTGGCGTAGAGGAGAAGTATGTATATATAAGCCACTTCAAGTGGCATATCCCTTTCTGAAGATGACTGCATTAAATGATCAAACTGCTTTACTAAAGTGTGTAGACCAGGGAGAGGTGAGAGAGGTAGAGTCAGAAATCTTTGAGTTGATTTTTGAGGAGACTTTTCAGTGCTTGATGATATCAGATGCCTGTGGATGGTAGGGAGTGTGGAATGTTCATTGAATACTTTGACTATTGGTCCATTGTTGGTTTGCCATTCTCACAAAAAGGTGTACTATTGTCAGACTGCAGATGGTTTGGAAAGCTGAAAACATAAACAGAGTTTAGTTGCAAGGGCCACAGTGATATATCCAGAGTTAGAAGATTGCACTGGAGTAGCAACGTTAACAATGTAACCTGACAAGTATCAGCAGCAGTGAGGTACCACCAATGATAGTCCAGAGAAGACAACAGAGTCCTAATGTGGTCAGTATCCTAGAAGCAGGCATTTTCTTTTCTTTTTTCTTTTATAAATAATTAATTTTATTTATTGAATCAAAATCGATTATACATATTTTTTGGGTTGAACATTGAGATATGTTGATTAAATGAGTATTACTAGCATATATATTGTTACAAATCATAACTATTCTTTATGCCCCTTGTCCAACCTCTCCCCTTCCCCCATTCCCTCCCCCTCCACCCTCTAATTGCCTAGATTTCTTCTCTCCTTCTTCTTCTTTTCTTTTTTTTAATTTATTTTAAAAGATGACCGGTAAGGGGATCTAAACCCTTGACTTGGTGTTGTCAGCACCATGCTCACCCAGTAAGCCAACCGGCCATCCCTATATGGGATCCGAACCCGTGGCCTTGGCGTTATCAGCACCACACTCTCCCGAGTGAGCCACAGGCCGGCCCTCTTCTCTCCTTCTGAAAGAATACTTGTTACCTAGATGATCTGTCCAATGCTGAGAGATGTGATCAGGTCCACCAATATTATCATAGAGCAGATGCTGCTTCTGTCACTCTGAAATGGGTTTTGTGGAAAGAGACATCCTCTTCTTTTCTTTGTCTCTGCTGGTGACTCTTACGTGAATGCACTCCAGTGGTTGGCGGACCATCTGTGTGGTGGTTGTGGCATCTAGGTGCTTTTGCAGCAGCCATGGTTATTGTGGTGACTGTGGTGGGGGTGCTGTTTTTGGCATGCTCCTTGGCACTGGCCGTATGCCTGGTTGTGGGCTGTGTTTGGTCCCCTTCTCCTTGCTTTGGGTCCCCTGGCAGGCCCCAAGGTGCTGGCATGTTGTGCCTGGTTGTGGGAGAGAGGTCCAATCCCCAAGTCCATGCCTCAGGTCCCTGGGTGGGCCCTGAAGCACTGGCACGCTGTGCCTGGTTGTGGGAGAGAGGACCATTCCCCTTCTTCTTGCCCCGGTTTCCTGGGTGGGCTCCGAGTAGGTGCACCCCATGCAATTCTATATTCCCGACCAGTCTTCTCTGAGTGGTCTTGTGTTGATTGGGGGGCGGATGGGCTGTCCTTGCCGTGCCCCAGTGTTCCCCTGGTGGGCCTGTCTCCCCCACCGCCCATGCACCAAACACTTCCCATGCAACGGGCCCTGTGCTGGTCCCTTGCAATGACTCACCGGCCTCTGAATGGCTCCCTTTTTTCAGTTGTTCTGGCTCCTCGCTCGTGTGTGGGTCCATGGGAACCCTATTAGTGGTCTTGCTGTCCTGGGGGCCACCAAGGCCCTCTTCTCTCCTGCTGCCTCCAAGCCACTCCATCTGGAGGGCACAGCTGCGGATTCTGCCGGCTCCTGCTCCATGTGCTCATCACCTTGAGCCTTAAAGCAGCCACAGCCCGAAACGCTCAGAGCAGCTTTTTCTTTCTCTCATTGTAGTTTCTCCTGCCTTCATGAACTCCATAGGTCTCTCCTCGCCTTCCCCTGACCTCCAGCGGTCCTGGCTTGGCTGATGTTACATTTTTATAGTTGTAAATTGGTTGATTTGTGGGAGAGAGTGATGTTGTGGACCGTCTATTCTGCCATCTTGATTGGATCCAACCTCTTCTTTTTTTTTAAAGATGACCGGTAAGGGGATCTTAGAAGCAGGCATTTTCAATGCCCCATGCAGTGTGGCTTCCTTTGCTGCAAGACAAGCAGGCCAACTTTTGTCAGGAGTCACAAGTCTAGTGTGTAGTGGTAGCTTCTGCTTCAGAAATACCTAGTTCTTTACTTTGTGCCCAGTCCATGATGGTAGATGTGCACTGTGCCTGGTGCATTGATGATTCCGAGTGGCTATGGCAGCAGTCTGGATGGGGCAGACTTGAACAGCTGCTTGATTCCAGCAGTTTTATCAGAGTACCTGCTCTTAACCGTGGGCATCTGCATGAGTGATCTAGACTATCCCATTAGCATTCAGTCATGATTTGTTTCCACAGTTCTTGGCTCCAAAGAGGGGTGTCTTTAATCTCTTAGTATTTATTCTTCCAAGTGGCATACCAGGTGCTTCAACCCTCACTGTAGTAGGCCATCCAGAGTTGTCATTGGGGCTGGATGCCTACTTCTACCCAATGGACACCATCTACTTTTAACTTAGCCTGTCAGTGAACCAGGCACAAACATTTAGAAGAATCTTTGTGAGTCAAAGGCCCTACTGAGCCAGCAGCTGTGCTTCAAGTAGTGGAGTAGAAGATAGTTTCTCACAACGGGGGAGCTACCACTTCATGTAAAACTGAGATGCCTCTAGGACCAGGCTAACTATATTCTTGAAAATACTATTTTCATAGGAGCATTGAGGCTTGAGCCTTTCCCTTGTTAGCTGTAGATTCCAAGTTGACCTGCCTCAAAGTGAGAATATCAGGCCAGAGATTCCTGAGGCCTTCGTGGTTCAGGCACTCAATTTCAACAAGAGTTTAATGGTAGGTTAATAGTTGCCCTTAAAAAAAAAAAAAAAAAGGTGTATTTGGTACCTGTGTCCAGCGGGTGGCGCTGTTATCCTAGTGAATGGCCTCTCAGTACTCCAGCAGACATTGTCTTTAAAGCTGTGATTTCTCTTTCTCTTCCAGGGATTTATATTATTTCTCCTGGACCACCAGGAGGGGACAGGATCACTTCTCTACATGCAGCAGTTCTTGAATGGGATAATCCTCTTTGATATGGGATCAGCTATACATTCAACCGTGGAATCCACAACAGTAGTACATTGAAGTGGCCCAAAGGGCCCCTTACCCACAAGGTTACTTTAACTTCCCTTCCCCACTGGGAACTTGGCTCAAACCCTAGCAGTTGAATTTGGGCATTTTTTCCCCCTTGAACTAATGAGTCTAATAGGCCTGCATTAGGGGCTATAGTGATACCCACCCCACCCCCAGATTATGCCATTTCCCAGTTGGAGAATGTGGGGAGTCCTGGATGCAGGGGGTGAGAAGTGGTTTTTTCCTCCAATTAGTTCCTCACCAGGCTTGACACCACTTTCTTCCCAGTGTTCTTCCCTATGTCTGGTGAGCCTCTGGGCTTAGGGGCTTTTTTTCATTCCCTGTACATGCTGCTAGGGCTCTCCCTGCAGTCCTTAGTGCCTTTGGTAAACTCCCTGTCTAGCAAATCCTTCCTCCATGGGACTGGGCAGGGTGGAGATGTGGGCCTCTGTGTCCTGAATTTGAGTCCCTCTCCTCCCTGGAGTTTCCCAGCATACCAGGGTAGATGTGTATGGCCTTCAGTCCCCTTTGGGGACACAGAGACCTCAGCTCCATCTTTAATCATCTTACCCTTTTTTTTTTTTTTAAAGATGTCCAGTAAGGGATCTTAACCCTTGATGTTGTCAGCACCACACTCTCCGAAGTGAGTGAACTGGCCATCCCTATGTGGGATCCGAACCCATGGCCTTGGTGTTATCAGCACCACACTCTCCCAAGTGAGCCACGGGCTGGGCTGGAGTTTCCCAGCATACCAGGGTAGATGTGTATGGCCTTCAGTCCCCTTTGGGGACACAGAGACCTCAGCTCCATCTTTAATCATCTTACCCTTTTTTTTTTTTTTAAAGATGTCCAGTAAGGGATCTTAACCCTTGATGTTGTCAGCACCACACTCTCCGAAGTGAGTGAACTGGCCATCCCTATGTGGGATCCGAACCCATGGCCTTGGTGTTATCAGCACCACACTCTCCCGAGTGAGCCATGGGCCCGCCCCTAATCATCTTACTCTTTAAAGCAGCTGACATTGTGGTAGATGGAGAGGGATCATGGAACATAAAGGAAGAGAGTGGCTATGAGTTAGTAATCAAGGCACATTTACTTTTGGCTTGAGCACACAGCTCACCCAAGTATATTTCATAGTTTTTATCTTTCAGCAGCCACCTTCATATCGCCTTTTGATTAGGGCTGTTGGGCTTGCTGCCCCATTGTCATGATCACATCTCTTCCTCCTTTGCCCAGAGGATAGTGAGAAATAACCAAGGCAGCATTCAGATGGCTTGTTTCAACCCTGCCTCTCTCCATTCAGCCTCTTTAATAAGTGGGACAGTGGGGGACTCTTACTCCTCCCATTGTCCACCACTTGGGCAAGAAGAGCATTTGCTATCAGATTCCAGGGAGTATTCTCATATCTTCTAACCCAGCCCATGGGGCCCTCATCCTTTCTCCTACAGAACAGTACGTCTCTCATCATCCTATGCTTCTCCTTCAAACTGTCAGGGTCTGGGATTTTATTTTAGCCTTCTTGTGAACTAATAAGTTAGCCTGTCACTGTTTTATAGATGCAGGCAGAAGACAAAGTCTTGAGTCAGAGACAGAGGTCTTTATTTCTTATGGCATAGCAAACAGGATGAGCATCAGCACATTGGCACTGGTTCCTCTTGCCCTCAGTGTCCCATTTGGTATCGTGGGTCTGGATGAATGCTTGCACATGCAGTGGGTTGCATCTCAGCTGAGGAATAGTGAGCTTGGGGAATCTGAATCTGCTGTTTTATCACAAGTAGTAAGCAAGACTGCTCTCCGTCCCAGAGGGAGACACTAACTCTTCCCTCAAGGTTGTTTGCCACGAACATAACCCTGAGAAATGGTCTGGGTTAAGATCAGTAAGGACCTTGCATTCTTGACATACCCTGCAAAGCCTGTAGGAACACAGGACCGGTGGATGACTGTCTCTCCCAAAACAAACAAGCAATAAAAGCCAACAGGAAATGGGAATGCTACTACTGGTTTTACTTGAGAAACTTTTGAAGTAAAAATCTGGTACTCTTTTGTCAGTATGTTTTGAAATAGACTTGAAAACTAATCACAAATGTTGGGACAGTTTAAATAATGCCTAGTTATGTGTGGTACTTTGTAGTCTACAGAGTTCTGTCACATGTGTTACCTGAGTTAATCCCTGATACCTCCCTGGGTGGGGGTCATGATGGATACTTTATTATCTTCATTGTGTACATGAGAAAAGAGGTCTGGAGAGAGAGAGCTATTTGGTCACGTCATGCCATTAGTAAATGGTGGGGCTGGGACTGGATCTCTCTTCTTTCCACAAATCTGTTTTGTCACACTGCTTTGAAGTTATTTCTGTCTTTGACATCACCATGCTACTGTCCTCACCTCATGTCAGGCAGTGTCCTTACCAGATGGTAGAAGTAGATTCACTTTTCTGCCTATCTGTTGGCCCTACTAAGTTAAAAACAAACAAACAAAGAACCTACATTTTTGGGAAAAGCATGTTTTGCCCCTTATGTGGTAGGTTGGTAATGACTGCTCATGGAAGCTGACCTGGAGATTAATGGCCACTAGAAAGCAACTCTTCTTTTAAGCTGCAGGGAGAAAATAACAAACAGAAATGGCCAGGCCCTGCTGAATGACTTGGCTACTGTTTTAGTCTGTTTTGTGTTGCTATAACAGAATTACCTGAGACTGGGTTTATAAAGAAGAGAGGTTTATTTGACTTAACGATTCTGGGACAGCTGCGTCTGGCGTGGGCCTCAGGCTGCTTCCACTCATGGCAGAAAGTGGTAGGGAGCTGGCGGGTACAAGCAGATCACATGGTGAGAGGAAGCAAGAGAGAGACAGAGAGAGAGGAGGTGCCAGGGTCCTATGAACAACAAGCTCTCGCAGGAACTAATAGAGTGAGAACTCACTTATTACTCCCTCCTCCCCCAGGGAGAACATTAATCCATTCATGAGGGATTCGCTCCCATGACTCAATCAGTTTCCAACACTGCCACATTGGAGATCAAATTTCCACATGAGTTTTGGAGGGGACAACACATCCAAACTCCATCAGCTTTCTTGGGAGCGCGGGGGTGGAGAGGAGGATGGGAAGCATGTCTGTGTAGAGAAAAGTGGTGAAAGGAGGAATTAGAGAACACTTACACCCCCAAAATGGAGAGGCAACAGGATAAGCATAGTATTTATAGACAGGAGGGCAAATACCGAAAGAAGCAACCACAAGAATTGACAGTAATTGCCTCTGAAAGGCAGAAAAACGGGAACACTGGAGACCTACCTTCTTTTTTTTTTTTTTTTGGTGGCTGGCCAGTATTGGGATCTAAACCTTGACTTTGGTGTTATAATACCATGCTCTAACCAACTGAGCCCTTGGCTGCCTTCTTAAAGCTCTCATGTAAAGTGTAAAGAGGTTTATGTGGTTGTATAGAAGAATAAGACGTTGCATTGTGTTTGAAAGCTGATGTATTAGAATCACTTATTTACTTGCAAAATAACTTATGCAGTGACGATAGGTTTTAGCTAAGCTCTTAACTTAGTAAGCAAACCCTCAATTTTTGTATATTGGTTAGTTCATTACAATAAGATCAGTCAGATCATAGTCAGCAGGTTACTTATCAGAAGGTTGATGAACAAAATCAGATTCCTTTAACAATCATGGTTTATTGGCTCTGTCTGACCAGTAACCCAACCATGTATTAATGTACTTTCTAAAAGTGAATGTAACTTCAGAGTTAGAAGTTAACAGACTTGGAAGAAAACTCTTGCTACAAGACTTTCTGTATTATAGGAAAACTCTTTGCCCTTTTAAAATAATTAGATAGAACTCAGGATACAGAATAAGTATATATTTAACTTAGGTTTATGGTAACTGGTAAATATTAGCTAATCTTTCTCATCTATCTAAATTAAGGTGAATGACCAGCTTGATGTCTTGCTTACTCAAATCACTTGTGTCAAAAGCTTTTTATTTTTTTATCCAACTTTCTCATTAATTGCTTAAAACACAGAGCCTTTGGTTTTAACTGTAGTTTTAACCATGCTTTATTAAGGCTATTTAGGTTTTGTGATAATTTAAAAATTCCTGTTTCTCTTTCTGTTTTTTCTTTAGTTGGGATGAGACTCACTTTGGAAAAATGGGAAGTTACTACATCAATCGTACCTTTTTCTTTGATGTGCACCCACCTCTGGGGAAGGTGAGCAGTACAGTGACAATAGCTCCCTAATCTGGGAGGATGGCTCTTTAGGGTTGGAGCCAAGTCTTGGTTTTGTATTTAGTTCTTGGATTTGTAGAAAGAGTTCCCTGACATTCCAGACCAGCTACTTTCATGGAAAATCTTTGGTGTTTTTAGGGGTCCTCTGGACTCAGAAATGGAGAGAGGTTCATCAACTGATAGATGGATAAATAAAATGTGGTATGTCCACACGATGGAATATTATTCAGCCATAAAAAGAAATAAAATTGTGATACAAACTACAGCCTGTATGAACCTTGAAAACATTGTGCTAGATAGAAGAAGCCAGACATAAAAAGTTACATATCATATGATTCCATTTGTATGAAATGTCCAGAATTGGCAAATCCATAGACAGAAAGTAGATTAGTGTTTGCTAGAGTCTGGAGAGAGGGAAGATTAGGAAGTGACTGCAAATAGGTATGGGCTTTCTTTTGGGGATGATGAAATGTTCTGGTAATGACTGCACAGTCTTGTGAATATATTTGAAACCACTGATTTTGCACCTTAAAATGGTGAATTTTATGTTATGTGAATTTTATCTCAATTTTAAAAAAGAAAAAAGAAATAGAAGGAATACATGGCATAAAGCAGACATAGAATAGGGGAACTGATTGTCTATATGGGAGCTAAACTTCTTTCCCCTCTCCCCGCTCCCAGCATACACATTGTTTGACCTGTTTCTCTCACATGTTTTACAGATAGAAATTACATCAATTAGAATTCATTGTTCTCTTTTAAAAACAAGCACCTTGAGAAGGATTATGGATTAGCCCTGGCATTCACTCAAGCCTTTCTTCCTAACTGGAGACTGAGGTCTTCAACACCAAGGGGACAGGAATTTGCCTGTGATGAAGTGGGGAAGTGATTTGGGAGCATGCAGTACTTGGGGATGGGGGCAGGAATGGCAGGGGTAGTGGTCTTTGACAGGGAGGGGGCTTAGGGAATCATGAGAATTTGGGGTAGGGACCAGGGAGAAGGTCCCTGCAGGTGGGACAGGTGGAGAGGGAGGTGGAACAGATGGCCTATTTCAAATTTGGCTCTGAGCCCAGGAAAGGAGTAAGAAATGTTATGCCTCTTCTTTTCTCCTTTATGGTACAACAACAATAAAAAGAAGAGCAATTGAACACTTAGTCTATTCTAGTCACTTGAGATGCATTATCTCATGGAAGCCTCAGAGTAACCTTATAAAGTAGGTACTATTGTGTCCCATTTTACAGATGGCATAACTTAAGCAAGGTAAGTAGTTTGCCATAGGGAACAAAGCTAGTAAGTGGCAGAGTCAAAGTTCAGACTGACTTAGAATCTACTCTCTTGACTATTATACCACACTGCTTCATGAACTTGCCTTATCTTCCTGCTCAGACTACATCTGTTACTATCATAGAATTGAGCAACAGAATGTGCTGAATATTTGCGTTGGGCTAGCCTGGGAACTAGACCTTTGCTAGAGGAGATGTTTGTAGGAAGCCCAGCCCAGTTTTCCAGCCTGCCCTTATTTGGAGTTCCCTAGTGCCCAGCACACTGTAGACATGTGGAAAAGACAGGCTGATTTGTTTAATTTACTTAAGCCTTTCCTTCTTCACATCTGGCCCCTGTGTGAAGGGAGAAATGTGAGGCTTTTTCCCAAGGCTGCCTCCAGGGAGTGCAGTCCATTTGTACACCTAATTTATCTCCTGATGGTCCTGTGCTCTATCTGGTTTTGAAAGAGAGTGATGAGCATATTGGAAACCCATCAGAGAGAGAGAGAGAGCAAAGTAGCTTCTATTGATTCTTCTATTGGCCAGTCAAAGAATCAAAAAGCCCTTCAAAGTAGGCAAGTAGGAACTTTTCTCTTATACTATTGAGGCCAATACCTGCCACTTCACACTGGACCCCAGCCCTAGTCACCTGGGGGCTCCAGTCAAAAAGGAACTTTAAAAAAAAAAATGCGTGCAGGTAGTAAAAAATTTGATCAGACAGAAGAAAGTAAACGGTCAAAAGCCTCCTACACCCATATTTCTATTCCTCTAAAGGTAACCATGGTCACCTTTGTTAACAGTTTTTTATGTATCATCTCAGAAAGTTTTCATACAAATATGTGTATATTTTTATTCACTTTAATATGAACACGTTATGTATACACAATCCTTTTTAAAAACACAAATGTGTTCAGATTAAATTGCTTAGCAACTTGTATTTTAAACATGATATATCTTAACTTCTTTCCACAAACACATTCTTTTTAGTGGCTGTATATTATTCCGTTATACAGATGTGCCATAATGTATTTTACCCCTCTTTAGTTGGTGGGCATGTATGTTATTTCTTATTTTTAGCTGTTGTAAAAGACATTGCAGTGAGTATCCTCGTACCTGCATCTTTGCATCACTGTGCAGGTATATCTGAAAGATTCCTGGTGGCCAAACTAAAGAGTCAAAAGATGCGCACACTTAAAATTGTGTTAGATAGTGCTAAATTTTCCTGCAAAAATGTTGTAATTACAGGGCCGGCCCGGTGGCGCACTGCTACAGTGCGCTGCTTGACAGTGTGGCGGCGCTCCCGCCGAGGGTTCGGATCCCACATACAGACCGGTTCCCACTCACTGGCTGAGCGAGGTGCGGGCGCAGCACCGAGGATTGTGATCCTGTTGCCGGTCCCGGTCCGGTACGGGCGCAACACTGAGGGTTGCGGGCCGGTGCCGGGCACGCAAAAAAGACAAAAAAAAAAAAAAATGTTGTAATTACAGGGCCGGCCCGGGGGCGCACTGCTACAGTGCGCTGCTTGACAGTGTGGCGGCGCTCCCGCCGAGGGTTCGGATCCCACATACAGACCGGTTCCCACTCACTGGCTGAGCGAGGTGCGGGCGCAGCACCGAGGATTGTGATCCTGTTGCCGGTCCCGGTCCGGTACGGGCGCAACACTGAGGGTTGCGGGCCGGTGCCGGGCACGCAAAAAAGACAAAAAAAAAAAAAAAAAAATGTTGTAATTACATATACCCCCACCAGCAGTGTGTGAGGGTACTTTTTTCCCCACACTATTGTCAATTTGAGAGTAAAAAATGGTATTTGCATGTCATGAGTTAGGTTCATTTTCTCATGTTTATTAGCCATCTGTATTTTGTTTTCTATGAATTTGTCCATTTTCTAGTAGGTTGTTCATCTTTTTAAAATTGATTTGAATGAATTATTTAGTTAGGAAATTAGCTCAGGCTACTTACTTTTACTCTTAAGAGAGCTGAGAGGGAACTGAGTTTTGAGTGCCTGCTAAGTGCTTGGTGTATTATTAGGTGTTTTAGTATCCCTTCTAATCCTCACAGCCTTCTGCAAGGAAGGTTTTATTACCTATAGCTCAGAGATATTAAATATTGCTGATGATCAGAGAGCTAGTATGTGGGTGCTGAGATCCAAACGATCTGTGCATTTCTTCACTCCAGACCAGCCATATAGTCTGGGAATTTATGACCAACACCAGGCAGGCTTGTCCTCTGAGACCCTAGGTGGGAAGGGGGATCCATTTGATTGTCACCTGTCAGTTCGAGTTCATCTAAATGTGTTTGGGTGACCCTGTCTTTTCAATACCTTATATTTATATTAAAGTAGTTAAATTAACATCTGGACCCTGGGATTCCCCCACCCTGCTTTTTAAAAAAACAAGCCTTTGGCTTCTATAACTTGACATGGAACTATAGAGAGTGGCTCTGTGTAGAACTACTTAGAGAAAAAAGGGAGGGGTTAGTAGTCCAAATCCAACTCCCACAAGCAGTGTGGCTAAGAGGGGCTCTCTCAAACAGCCAGTATATTGTCTCTCCTACAGCCTGACCAGAGCACAGGAGTCAGGCTGGAGCACCAGCCTGGGGCTGTCACAGGTGGTTGGCATTTGCTGACAGTTTTTATACTTCAGCTGCTTTTGATTGTTTGTATGGAAAAGAGAATTTTGCAATGTTGATGGCCAAAGGATATAGAAATGAAGAGACTGATCTTAAAAATTATAAAGGATTCATGACTCACAGTATCAGTTCGTAGTTGATTTGCTCTGGTTTAGGAGGTGCCAAGGTTGCCTTCCTTTGAAATATTGGAAATAGGAGAAACTAGTCTCTGGCCTTTTGGCATTTGTTTCTCTGTCTTTGCATTTCTCTTTCTCGTTTTCTTCTTTTCTCTCTATTCCTGGTATTTAGCTACTTGGTCACTTTTGTCCCTCCTCATTGTGACTTGGAACCTCATTTTCTTTTCAATGGGCCAATGATTTCTCCCAGGAATCAGCTTCTGCCTGTGACCTTCCCCAAGATCTGTCATGTTTTATTTCATAACAGATGAAAGAAGGCTGCGTGAGAGAGCCCCTTATTGACCCTGTCTTCAAATTGTGAGTTTTTTTTTCCAAAGTGTTTAGTCTGCACTGTTCCCAAGAATTTGGCTATAACACAAGAGAGGATTTGTCTTAAGCAATGAGCTCTGGAGACAAAAGATTCTTTGCTCTTCAGCAGCTGCAGGAGAAAATGTCACATTGGCAACTCCTTCTATGGACAGTTGTCAAGGGAAGTCAGTGTCTATGGGTGCAGCTGGAGGGAAGTTCAGAGGACAGAGGGATCTTCTCCCAAAGGACTCTCATTTGTTCGTTTGTTCTTTTTCTCTCCTCAGATGCTGATAGGTCTTGCTGGCTACCTGAGTGGATATGATGGTACCTTTTTATTCCAGAGGCCTGGGGACAAGTATGAGCATCACAGTTACATGGGAATGAGAGGAGTAAGGAAGGCTTCCTGTCTTGATATACATTGACTGAACCCTGGGGCCACACTCAGTCAGAAATGTTACAGTTGGAAGTCCTGGAGTGGTGGCAGGTGTAGATAAAGAGACTTTGCGGTGGCAGGGAGAGGGGAGGATGATTGGACTCATCCCCTGTGGTGTAGAGATTCCAGACTGAGGTGGAGAAGAAGGGAAGGGGAGGCTACAAAAAATAGAGATTACATAGGTAGGAGCAAGCACACACACTGTCACTTGTTTCTCTGCCCGTGTCTAGCATCAGACCTCAGGTTGGAGGGTGGACCGGGACCCAGGCGGTCAGGAGTCTCCTGCAGCCCTGAAATGGGCCTCAGTGCACTGGCATGCTGCGTGTTCTTCCTCTCTGTAGCCACAGGTGCTGGAGTAAAGCCTACCTCTGAGAGCCTTTTCTTAAGGTTTTGGCATCCCTATACTCCCGTCACCATGAATATTTCAAGCACACATAAGGAGTTTTTCAGCCTTATTTTAAGGGATGCCATCTGTCTGCTCCAGTTCCTGTGTGCCCTGATTCCCAGCACCAGCCCTGGTGGAACATGGCAGGGCCTAAACACTGAATTATCTGTGAACCCTGTACCTGCAGCTAAATAAAACCTGGAGAAACTGATCTCCAACATGGATCTCCAACATGAATCTCAGAACAGTTTGCTTTTACAAGCCTTGAGGATCTCAAAGCATTTTAGATAAATGACTATGTGCTTATTTGGGCTAATTATTAGATGATTTGCATGGGCATATCATGTCCTGTTAAACAAGGAGAGTCCCCTGCTCTCAAATTCATATTCTTAAGTTATTCTGTGTCTTCTTAATGACTTTTTTTGGCGGCTGGCCAGTATGGGGATCTGAATCCTTGACCTCAGTGATGTAACACTGTGGTCTAACCAACCGAGGTAATTGGCCAACCCCCTAGTGACTTTTGAACACCACATATCTGTCCCGACCCGTGGGATATTCAACGCACACCCTGGAGGGGGGAGTGGGAATTGGATGGGACAAGAGACACGAGAAATGGAGACCAGACAGTATTCTGATCAAGTCTCGTTTATTGGTTTGAAAGTTACAGCTTATATAGGGAAAAAGCAGGCATGCTGCAAAGGGTCTGGAATGTAAAGATATGGTAACATCTTGAGGAGAAACAAAGACAGGACATTCAAAGTAAAGGTTGCCACCCAGAATATTTATGGTTAAACAGTTTCTAGAGAAGGATAAAAGGTCACTTGCAAATTAACTTGCATAGCCAGGAGCAAGCAGTTTCTGGCACAAGCAGATTGCGAGGCAACGGCCACACAAAGAGGGGAGTGGGGCTGCTCGCTCCCAACACATATCATACATAATTGGATATAGGCCAGATTCACTGTGGACTTGCTGTGGTATTGAGAAGGCCAAATATAAGCGCCTCATTTATTTTCTTTCACACTAGGGCACATTGCTTTTTGTTGACAAAAAGTGACAACGCAAATATGAGAACTTCCCATTCTTCTGGGCTGTCTATTGGGCAGTGTAGGGTCATGGAAGCTGTGATTTAAAAAAACCAAATGACCCTCCAGGTACTGAAGTATCATGCAGTCTTTTTTCCAAAATCAGGATATATCCTGTAGGGTAAAGAGTGGTTTCTGGTGCAATTGAAGAAAAGAACCAGAGGAGAAATAACATTAGAATTTTCTGAAATGTGGGCCGAGCCCGTGGCGCACTCGGGAGAGTGCGGCGCTGGGAGCGCAGCGGTGCTCCCGCCGCGGGTTCGGATCCTATATAGGGACGGCTGGTGCAATGTGCTCACTGGCTGAGCGCGGTGCGGCCGGTCACAAAAAAGGACAAAAAAAAAAAGAATTTTCTGAAATGTGAAGATACCTTCAGAGAGGTCTTTCTCAACTTGTACCCACAGTTTTGTAATAGAAGCTAATGTTTATCAAGTACTTTCTGCATGTTAATAAAACTAGCTAATTTAATCTTCACAGTAAACTTGTGAAGTCGGAACTCTTATTTTTCACATTATACAGGTGGAGAGGTTGAGATACAGAGAGGTGACTTTCTCAAAGTCACAGCTAGCAATGATGATGCAGTCCTGCCCTCACTTTCTTGCCTGAACTTTTATTTCATGTCAGTGCACAAGTTGCTCAGTGTTGCTTGACTTTACTCTTCACTGTTACACCACCTCTTTCTTATTTATAGATATACCAGGTGTGATATTAGGTCACTGTAGTCATGCCTTTTTCAGGGTCCTCCATCTTTTTTTTTTTTTTAAAGATGACCGGTAAAGGGGATCTTAACCCTTGACTTGGTGTTGTCAGCACCATGCTCTCCCAAGTGAGCTGATCGTCCATCCCTATATAGGGATCTGAACCCTTGGCCTTGGTGTTATAAGCACCACACTCTCCCAAGTGAGCCATGGGGCAGCTCTCAGGGTCCTCCATCTTAAACATTAGTTTGTACCAAGTCAAGTGGGTCCCTGGTGCTTAGCTCAGCTTGTTATTTGACAACTTCTCTGTTTCTTCCTTAGTTCTGTGCATTCCTTGGTTCCTGGCTGATCCCCTTTGCTTACCTCACTGTACTGGATCTGTCCAAGTCCCTCCCAGCAGCACTGCTCACCGCTGCCCTCCTTACCTTTGGTAAGTTGTCTTATACCACGTTTTTTGGGAAGTGGGCTGCCACACTGTGAATGTAGCTAGGAATCAGTACGTTCAAGGGCCATATCAATGGGCTCAGTTTTTAATTAACATTAGGATTGGGTAAAATGTATTACAAATCTCATTTTATTCCTTAGTAATATGTATATAAATACTTACATGTAGAATGCTTTTATATTATTGGAGGGGAGAGTCAGCATGGGTAATCCCAAGGAATAGATTATCTCTGAGTTATCCACATTTGAGTTTGGAATGGATAATAAGATAAATTTATGTGTGTGTTTGAAGGAACTTACAATTCGTATTTTGCTTCTCTTAGGTTAGTATTAAGATTAGTTTGCATTCCCTAAGCTAATTTCAACTGAATGCAAAGGCAGATGCCTCAGAAGTAGCTGGGTGGCAGGGAATAGCAAAATGGGAACTTACATATTTTCTGTGGTTAATCCTCACATAGATAAATGAGAGTTGATCATAGAAGTTGATCCTGTTGCTAGCCTTGTTCTTATGAAAGTGAATTCATGACCTCATGAATCTTAACATTTAAAGAAGTCCAGACCAATTTAGGTGGGTATTTTAGGTGTTTGTTTTGACAGATATGTTGCTTTGCTTTGATGGATATATTGCAAAATTATAGAGTCTCTATAGAAGACTGGTGGCTTTTTCATTGTATATTTAATTTCCCTCTTCAGTTATTCATTGAGTCATTTATTTATTTGCCATTCAACAACTATTTCTCAAGGACCTACCCTGTGCTAGGCTACTTTTCTTGGCCTCAGAGAATACACTAATGAGACAGTCTGCTCTCTAGGAGCTTACCCCTAGTGGGGCAGACAGTACATAAACAAGTAAATTAATAAGTCTGTGTAATGTGACGTCTTACCGCAGTAAGTGCAATATGGAAAATAAAGCAAGGTAAGGGACAGAGTAATGGAGATCAATACTATTTTAGGTAGGATGATCGGTGAAGAGCTCTCTGAGAAGGTAGCTTTGAGCAGAGACCTCAGTGAAACAAAGGATCAAGCCATGGAGACAGCTGAAGGAAGAGTGTTTAGGCAGAGGGAACAGCATCTTCAGTAGTCCAGATGCAAGGCTCAGTGGTTTCCAAGAAACAGCAAGCATGTGGGTCTGGCTAGGGGTGGTGTGAGTGAGGCAGAGGGTGTTGGGAGGTAAGTTTGGATAAGTAGGAAGACCATGCAGGCTTTGGCAAGCTGTCATGAGAATTTGTTAGTCTGAGTGAGATGGGAAGACATTGGAAGGTTTAAGCAGGGGTATGATGTAATGAGATTTAAATTAAAAACAAAACCGAAAAACAAACCACTCTGGCACCTGTATGGAGAATAACCTCCACCAGAGACTTCATCATATAACATGATAAGACTCTATCACAGGTATAGGCAGTTTGTGACTACGTATAAGCAGGGTGGCAGAATTCTTTTTATGATGGAAAAATGAAGAAGAGACCTTGTCTCAGGGCTGCTCTGAGTGAATGATATGATCCTCTCTTGGGTTGAGGGCCTAGATGCAATGTGAGATACTGCTTCTTGACATCGGGCTCTGGTGTACCCCAAAGCCTTCCACCTCCATCATGACTCATTGATGACTCAGTGGCATTCAATTAGGTGTTACTTACTATAGGAGTGTTTGGTTTTCAGGAGGTCCTTTCTCTTGATCCCACTTTTTGACCAGTGAGCTCATGTTTTTCAGACACAGGATGCCTCACTCTGTCTCAGTACATCCTCCTTGACCCCATCCTGATGTTCTTCATCATGGCTGCCATGCTGAGCATGGTCAAGTACAACTCCTGCGCCGACAGGTCAGAAATACTGTCTTTGGGAGGGGCGGGTCAGAACCGGAATTTCTGTAATGTCCAGGGCCAGGGTGGGTTCCTAGAGGACTTGTCTTGAAGCTGACTTTAAGGCAAGCATACTTTTTTGCTTGTTTTTTAACTTAGATTGTCCATGTTAGATCATAAAAGTAGGCTTTAGAAAGTTTTGTTTTACATAAGGCTCAGAAAATCTTAATTGTCTTTTTCAAGAATATTGTTATGTTTATAGTATGGTACCGTAGGATAGGGGTTTATGGATATTATGGAGGGGTCCTAATGCTTCCCTCCACCCACCTCTTATAAGCCACCTCTCAGAACCAGTGCTGATTAGGAGATCCTGGAACTTTATTCTTCACATTCTCTGTCCTAGAGGGGAGGGCACCTGGATGTATGCTGCCTGAGAACTCTGTCTACCTACCCACAGTGTTGCATCCAGTCCTGACCTAATGATAGCAGTAAGGTATATAAAGCTTGGCTTGAATGGTCTATACCAATTAAAACGATCCTTCCAGACCCTAGTCAGTTCTAAAGCTGATCTGGAGGGTCTGGTCTACTTCCAGAATAGTTCTTTTTCAGGTCATCCTTCTGCCTCTGAGAGAGTAGAATAAGTCATTTTATTCAAACCAAGAGTTGGCCCCTCTTAGCTTTTCCAGAAGTCAACTTGGTTTCACCCATGGCCAAGCCCATCAAGCTACATTATGCTAATCAAACCTGATCAAGCAACCACCAGCTTACTCTAGCTTTGGGTTATCTTCTACGCCTACCACATCCATTTCCATCTACCATTTCTTGACTACATACTATGTGCCAGGTACTGTGCTTAGAGCTGGAGGTACAGAGGTACATAGGTCTTGGCTGTTAAGGAGCATTCACTCTGGCAGGGAGGTTATCTAGAAGCAGCCAGATGATCAGAAAATTGCAGCACAGTGTACTCTAGGTGCTATAAGTACAGCAAAATGGTTAAAGGTGCTAACCTTGAACCCAACTGCCTGGGTTAGAACTATGCTCCACTGCTTGCTAATGTATACTTAACTTCTCTGTACCTCGATTTCCTCATGAGTAAAAAGAGCATAATAATAGGTTTTACCTGATGGGGTTGTAGTGAAGGTTAAAATAGTTAACATGTGTATAGTACTTGGAATGGTGCCTGACACATAGTAAGCACTCAATAAATGCTGGCATTGACAGATCCAGAAGTGACACAGAGGAGACAGCTGACTGAGTCCAGTGGGTTTCTCTGGATTTTCCTTTTACTTCTACTTAATTGGTCACTAGTGAAGAATAAGCCTACTGTTTACCTCCCTGTACTTAGCCAGGAACACCATGGACCTGTTCACCAGAAAAATATCCTCCTCATTCTCACATGGTTTGCCTGTAATTTCAGGGGTTTCACAGACCACATCCTCCTTGGAGTCACGTCATGGTCCTGAAGTTAGGAACCCCCAAGGTAGAGGGCACAGCACGGCCTCTCTGACTCAGAGAACCTCTGCCCTGTCCCACTGTTCTTGCTTTCGAGTTTGGTTCCAGCAGCCAGACTGAACTCTGTCTCGTTGGTTTTCAGGCCCTTCTCTGCCCCCTGGTGGTTCTGGCTCAGCCTGACTGGCATCAGTCTTGCTGGTGCTTTAGGGGTCAAGTTTGTTGGCCTCTTTATCGTCCTGCAAGTGGGGTTGAACACCATTTCAGACCTTTGGCACCTGTTTGGAGACCTCAGTCTTTCATTGGTGAGAACTTGAGTGCTTGCAGAAATGTGTTTGCTCCCTGGTGTTGCTCAGCAGGAGCCAGTGGCCTTGCTCTGCCTCTGCTGCAGGTGGCAGAGTAGCTGTGTTCTGGGCCCTGGGCGGGCTGAACCCAGCTGCCCTCTGTAGACAGCAGAATGTTGGGGAGTGGGCCCAGCTGAGAGGCTAGAAAGGTATAAAGGGAGAGGAAAGACTGACATCCTTGGAATTCTATTTTGGCATTCGTTTGTGTAATGTCTTTTAAATGTCCTACCAACTATCCAGCTGGGCTCATGCCATATGTGTGGCAGACACTGACTGCATAGGACCTTTGGGGTGAAATGGATGGGATGACTTTCCGAACTCATGATTTTCTTTTCCTGACCCAGGGTCTCTATATTTGGAGGCTAGTAAAGGACTTTAGGGTTTATTATAACATTATTATTTATTAAGGGCTGATTCTGTGCCAGGCACTATGCAAAATGCTTTACTTTCAGTATGTCATTTATCTCTCATAAAAATCCTATGAGGTGGGTAGTTATTACTTGATTTTTTACAAATGAGGAAATCGAGACCTAGAGAGCTAATAACTTCCCCAAGGTCAGGTAGTAAGAGGTAGATCTAGAATTCAGACTTAGGTTAGGCTGACTCCAGGCTTCAGTAACGTTACCCTGATGCTTCTCCATCACCTCTGAACCAAACTTCCAACAAGTTTATTTACTCATTCAAAAAATATAAAGACCATCTTCTAGGTGTGAGATTCTGGGAATGTACAGATGTATAAAACATGGCCCTGCCCTCCGGCATCAGTGGAGAGAGAGAAATATGTAACAGACAATCTCAGTCCAACTAATACGAGTAAGTACTGTGAGAGCATAGAGGAGGGCACCAGCTTAGTCTCAGGCAGTCCAGGAAGGCCTCTGGGAGGAAGCTGAGGCCTGAAGTTAAGATAAGGAACAGTTAGTCATGTGCTAGGTGGGGCTTGCACAGTGCAGGAAGAATTGGGAAAGTGCAAGGAGTTCATTGTGCCTGGAATGTGGAGGGGAGTGATGAGCAGGATTCTGCAGATGCAGGTGGCGCCTTATCTGCAGCGCAGTGACAATCTAGGATTGTGGGTGCAGAGCCTGTAGATGCAGCAGAGGGCTGGCCCATGTTTATCACCTTGAAGTGCTTGGGTGGTGGGGTGTTATAGAAAGGCTTAAGGCTTCCACATATTCTTTCCTTTTGGCCATTTTTTATGATTGTGACTTATACTTAAGAGCTTGTATTTAATGCACACATATGATATAAGGAATAATAAGGCCTCACATGCCCACCACCCCGTGCTGGCCTCTGTCTGCAGGTGACTGTGGGAAAACACCTGACTGCTCGCATCCTGTGCCTCATAGTGCTGCCCCTGGTTCTCTACACGGCTACTTTTGCTGTTCACTTCATGGTGCTGAGTAAAAGGTACAGCCAGAACCTTTACAGTGTCTTGCTTCTGGTCTTCCTCTTGCCCCTAAGCCCATGGATGGGCTGTATGATTTCCTGGGCCTGTAATTAGGATAACAAAAGGGGGGCCCAGAGGCTTTTTCCTGTTTCTTTCCCCCTGTGTTCTATCCTTTGGGTATCCCAAAGGCTCAGAAAGGCCCCCACCCTGACCTGAAGAGAATTTTGTAGTAGCCATACTGCCCCTTATCCCTAAACAGTGCCCTGTACTTAGCAGGGATGAGCAACCATAAGGGTGTGTGACAGGAGTGAGGATAATAATAACTATAACACCAGCAGCAACAGCTCCCATTTAACGAGCAGCTGCTAAGTGTCAGAAACTGTGTTCAGCATCTTGTAGACATTGTCTCATTTAATCGTAGTCATTTGTGAGTTATTTGGTTTTTTTAAAATCTCCACTTTATAAATGAGGGACTGAGGCTAAACGAGGTTAGGTATCTTGCCCAAGGTCACCCAGCTAGTAAGTGACCGAGTTGGGATTTGGACTCCAGTTTTTCTGACTCCATCACCCACATCTGTCCCTTGATACCACACTGCCACTCTGATTCTACTTCTTTTAAACTAATTGAGCAGAGCTCTTCCCAAGACTCCTTGGAAATCACAATCTTCACTCCATTAATTTGGCTCTCTTCTGCTCCTCCTTTTCCCACAGTGGTCCTGGAGATGGTTTCTTCAGTTCTGCCTTCCAGGCCCGGCTTTCAGGGAACAACCTTCACAATGCTTCCATCCCTGAACGTGAGTGTCTCGGCCTGTACGAAGGAAGAAGGGCAGAGGGGTTTCCTGGGAGTTGAGTTGGAAAAGACAAGCATGATAACTTGAGTTTCTGTAGCCTGAAGATGGCAAAGTCAGAGAAAGACCCAGTTAGATCTGGTAAGAACACTCAAAAGAGTGAATCGGGAGTGCAGGGGAAGACATCCTGAGCAGCAAGCTCTTTGACCCTAAAGAATAACTTCTCCTTTGTGGCTGTCAAAGCCAGCCCTGTGGGAAGGTCAGTCAGAGAGAATGTGGAGACAGAACAAGGCCCTTTGGGGCCAGTTGTCACTTTCTACCACAATATTCTGAGATTCACATCCATTCACTTATTCACAGACAGTAATTAGTACACAAGTGTCCACCCTCCAGAGATAGTCTGGTGTAGAGGATCTCCATGCAATATGACCATATGTGTTAAGTACATAAAGAGGGAACACAGAGCTCTGGGGATTGAAAGATGAGAGAGATCACTGCTGCTGGGTGGTTGAGGGGGATCAGAGGTACATGGATTGGGTTGCCTTAGAGTCTGGCCCTGGAATGATGGGTAGGTTTTAACATGTAGAGAGGAGAGGAGCAGGCCTGCCAGGCAGAAGGGATGACACGATCAAAGCCCAGGACAGGGCAAAACTCAAAGCACAGTTTATACGTAGAAAAGTACTGGAAGATAAATTTGGAAAGATAGGTTGGGCCCAGATTATGAGGGTTTGAGATGTCAGGATTAGGTTTTTGACTTCATTAAACAGTCAGTGGAGACCTGGTAGAGGTCTGCGATCAGGCAGGAGGCCAGGAAGGCTGTGCTATAGGGAGATGACACCAGTGGAAGAGTTGGATGGCTAGGGAGGGGACAAGATTGGAGGCAGGGAAATCTTTTGGGAGGCTATTTCAGGGACCTGAGCTAGGCATCATGGCATAAAAAGGGAGATTGGACATGGAAAGAAAGGAAGCAAGATGTCACTAAGGACTCGAGTGCAGGTGAGTGCTTCCTGGAGGCAAGTGCACATCTTATTTTAGTCTCTCCAGTGCCTTGTACACATTGGGCCCTTCAAGGCTGTGGAAAGGGTGTGAAAATAGGAAAGCAGGGGAAAACTTGGTTTGAAAGGGCAGATACTGAGTTTCACATTAGAGAGGTTGACTTTGAGCTGCTTGGGGAAATCTGTGCAGTAGGGCCAGTGGGCTTGGGGCTGATGCTTTCAAAGGAGGAATCACCAGGTAAACGGACAGTTGATGCTGTGGCGGTGGCTGTTATCTGTAAGGAAACTGTCAAAAGAGGAAGAACACAGGGCTGAGGTTAGGTCATTGGGGAATGCAGGAGGAAGAGGAATTAGGGAAGGAGGCCATGCAGGAGCAGTCCGTAAGGGAGTGTGGGATCAAGAAAGGGGAACAGAGAGCATTTCAAGAAGCAAACGTGGTCAGAGTATGCAGGGTCACAAATGTTGGCCTATATGATAACTTAGAAAAACGGAACTTTGGAGTTGAGCAAATTCCTACTCATTATTTAAAAGGCCTAGTTCAGCTGCAATCTCTTCCGTCAAGTCCTCTTTTTACTCCCTGGGAGAGAATTTGTCCTACCCTGCTCTGGACTCCCACCATATCATCCATTGTCATACCCTTGCTGGAGCATTTGCCCATTGTCCTGTATTTGTCAGTATGTGAAGCCATTTTCTCTCTAGACAGGGCTCTTCCAGGGCCACAGCCAGGCTTTCTCCACCTTAGGATCCCCTGTGTAATCAATACATTGTTGATCAACTGAATGAACAAAGGAAGACAGGAGTAGGCCATCACTGGTGGAGTGAGAGATCTGTTGCTGTGCAGTGGTGAATGGGGGGCAGCCAGGGATTGAGAAGAGAGACAGAAATAAGGAAACAAGGCTTCTCAATCACCCAGTGTTTGCAGGAGGAGGGGGTGTTCTTGGGGAAGCAGTTTACTCTGTTTTGTTTTTTTAATTCAGAGTAAAAAAACTTCAAACACCGTTAAACAGTTCTTTCATATGGTACTAAATTCAAAAAGCACAAAAGAATGTAGAGTGAAAAGTCTATCTTAACAGTCTATCATAACGTTATACTTTGCAGAACATTCCAGATGAAGATATAAAATGCTTCTCCTTCTTTATTCCATTGAATACATGTACAAGACCTTGACTGAAGGACAAGATGTTTCTAATCTTTTGCTATTACTATTAGTGATTTGATAATGACAGTGTTAACACCCAGCTTCTTCTGAAGTTCTCAGGAGGAAGGGGAAGGGAGGGTGTAAGTGCCACTGTGGAACTCCTTCTGCAGTTGGCTCCATTGGAGTGAGAGGGCAACTGTGCTCCCTGCTTTAGGACATCCGGGGCCCAGTGGAGTCTCTTTGAGGGTTAGTGAGTCTCATGACTTTAGAGGCCCCTCCCAGGCAGAGGTAGTCTCCGGCACTGTGCCAGCTCACCCCTCTGCTGTCTCCCTTCCTCCCAGACCTGGCCTATGGCTCTGTGATCACGGTGAAGAACCTCCGGATGGCCATTGGCTATCTGCACTCCCACAGGCACCTGTACCCTGAGGGCACTGGTGCACGCCAACAGCAGGTCAGTGAGCCTTTTGTGTATTTGTACTGCTGATGGAGTTTGGATGTGGTGTTCCCTTCAAAACTCATGTGGAAATTTGATCCCTAATGTGGCAGTGTTGGAAACTGATTGAGTCATGGGGGTGGATCCCTCATGAATGGATTAATGCTCTCCCTGGGGGAGGGGGGAATAATGAGTGAGTTCTCGCCCTATTAGTTCCCGTGAGAGCTGGTTGTTTAAAAGCACCTCCTCTCTCTCTCTCTCTCTCCCTCTCTCTCCCTCTCTCTCCCTCTCTCTCCCTCTCTCTCCCTCTCTCTCCCTCTCTCTCCCTCTCTCTCCCTCTCTCTCCCTCTCTCTCCCTCTCTCTCCCTCTCTCTCCCTCTCTCTCCCTCTCTCTCCCTCTCTCTCCCTCTCTCTCCCTCTCTCTCCCTCTCTCTCCCTCTCTCTCCCTCTCTCTCCCTCTCTCTCCCTCTCTCTCCCTCTCTCTCCCTCTCTCTCCCTCTCTCTCCCTCTCTCTCCCTCTCTCTCCCTCTCTCTCCCTCTCTCTCCCTCTCTCTCCCTCTCTCTCCCTCTCTCTCCCTCTCTCTCCCTCTCTCTCCCTCTCTCTCCCTCTCTCTCCCTCTCTCTCCCTCTCTCTCCCTCTCTCTCCCTCTCTCTCCCCCTCTCTCCTCTCTCTCTCTCTCTCTCTCTCTCTCTCTCTCACACACACACACACACACACACACTCTTCCTTAGAGAGCCCTGAGATGGTGTCTTATAATGGAAAGAATGTAAGACAAAGGATATGGAGACGTCTGGGTTGTTCAAGCATTAACTGAGTTTAC